TGGCCACTGTGTGACACAGAGTGTTGGATTAGATGGGCCATTGGCCTGATCCAACATTGGCTTCTCTTATGTTCTTAAAATGGGAATTCTGCAGAAAATTGGAATATATGCAATATTTGTTTTCTCATCAAACCTTAACTTACCACTTCAACATAAAATGTTGCGTTCCTAACTAAGTATACACATTTAGGAGATTTCCAAAGAAAAACACCTTATTTACCTTTAAGCAGAACTGTGACTACACCCACCACTAGAGAGAAAGCTGCAAACTGTTGCACCTTATTGCTATCTAAACACTTACATCTCAGTTTTAAAGGTCACCAACCAATCTACAAAGAAAGAAGCCTTGTATACTCATCTCCTGATGACGGCGCCCAATTTGGTGCCGAAACGTATCTCGGCTCTGCGCGTTGGCAGCAGCCGTCCCTCACTCTGAAAGCTGGCTTGCAGACAAATCTTAAAATGACAGGTTTAGATTGAACAAAACCATGTCATAAAGTCATGCACTAATTCCGAAAGAAAAATATTACAGCCATTCGCAGTGCTCCTCCAAAAGTTCACAAAAGAAACGACTAGGGGGAAAACTGCGGAGATTTGTTTTTCCATTTCTCCCACAGGTCTTCACAACTGCAAGGAGAGCGCAGATGGGTGCGCTCAGGAACAATAGCATAGAACAATGCTTTGGGTGTGTGAAATAGCCCTGCAGAGCTTTCCTATCACCCCATCGCATGCGTGTGAGAGTTTGCGGTGGAAGCAGGTTTATTTGGTCAGCTGACGGTCATGCTGGTGATGGACATGTCTGCACAAATTGATGTACAATAGTCCATTCTGGGCAAACCCATCACCAGCACCGTCACTCAACAGCTCCCGGCACAGAGACGGATATTGTTCTGTTTACCAAGAAAGTTCTAAATTTCTTCTGGCACAGTCCTCTCGAAACCAATAGGAAAGGAAGAAACCTTTATTATAACAAGGCTGCGGTCCCACACAGTAAATAATCCACTTTCAGTGCACTTTCCAACTGGATTTTTACTGCGTGAACTGCCACAATCCAGTTGGAAAGTGGATTGAACGTGGAGTCTTTAGTGTGTCTGACCACAGCCCAAGAAAGCCTTTTGCTGCAGGTGAAAGAAAAAAAAATGCAGATCTGGGGCCTAAGGAAACCCTAAAACAAGGATTCCCAACTTTTTTGAAGCTATGGACATCACTGGAATCAGGAGTGATACTATGCATACCTCTAATCATTCCTCCTCAACGTTCCAGGCATTCTGTTTAACAGGATGCCTTTTTAAATGGAGATTTTATATAATTTTTAAATCCACCGGTTCATAATGCTACTTAACTTCCATCAGTTGTTTTTTCCCCCAATACATACATACAAAATCAAGTGGTAGAGCTCCTTTTTTTTTGTTGCTGCAGAAAAGTATTTAAACGATCAAAAGAACCAGCGTGGTATAGCATGTAAAGTGTCGGACCAGGACCTGAGAAATCCAGGTTTGAGTCCTCACGGCCACGGAAGCTTATGGATGACCTCAGGCCAGTCACACACTCTCAGCCTAACCTACCTCACAGGGCTGTTGTGAGGATTAAACAGAGGAAAGGAGGAACGATGAAAGCGGTTTTGGGTCCGCCTTAGGGAGAAAGGCGGGATGTAAATAAAACAAACAATTTTTTTTGAATCGTCAAATGTTCCACCGGGAGAGATGCCCAAGACAGACACATATTCTCCATCAGTATCCAAGAGTTCCCAGCAATGCATTGGTGCCCCCTAGTGGGCATGCTTGCTAAGCCATTTGTTTTTAGAAGATAAGAGGTTCCAAGGCACAACAGGGTAGCCTGCCTCATCAGAGAGAAATGATGTGAGGAGAACCATTACTATGCAAAAGTGCCACACGACAAGAAAATGAAAACAGGTCTGACAAGAGACAAAGAAAGGAGACTCCTCCAGTCTCTATTATGGAAGTCCATCCCACCCTCCTTGCCCCTGCCACATTAGGAACCACAAATAAAATCCACTGTACACAAATAAAATCCACTGTACACAGCTTACCGACTCCTCAGTATTACTCTGTCAGAAATACAGCTCCTGCAAGGACTTGCAGACACTGATAAAGCCCACGCACAATACTTTTCAACAGAGAAAAATTTAGTAAGCTTGGGGCAATTACGCTATCACCTGGAAAAGTAATTTTGACACCCCTTCAAGCCACTGAAGTCTTCCATTCTGCCTTGCTTTAAAATGAAGCTTCATCTAAAAATAGCGGCCCTTTTGTGGGGAAATCCAGAACCCACCTTCAACATTTTGAAGGCACTTGCAAGCCCTGCAAGACTGAGAATCCCCAGCACGGGGCAACAGGGCACCCAACATTAGCCAACAGCATGTCCCAGGAGCCTTCATAGCCCACCACTGTGTAGCACACAGGCAGGGATTTCTCTCTCTCTCTCTCTCTCTTTTTTAAATCCCCGTAGGGATATTTTTTACTTTGCATATACTACAAACTACAAAGAAATATAGGGGAGGGACTACAACTAGGGATAAAGAAAAGCAAACCACACTAGACTAAAACCCCAAGAGAAGGAGATCTTTTCACTGTTAGCAAATATGTTAGTACCATTAGTTTTATTATCACAATATACTTGTTGAGTTCTTGCTTATAACAATTCGCTTCTTGTATCAGGCAGGGATTTCTCTGCCTAACAATCCAGGTGGAAGGAATTGTCTGAACACAGGAAGCACCAACATCCACCAAATGGAAAAAGGAAGAAGAGATTGGATTTATACCCCACCCTTCACTCGGAGTCTCAGAGCGGCTTACAAACTCCTTCCCCTCCCCACAACAGACCCCCTGTGAGGTAGGTGGGGCTGAGAGAACTCTGACACAAACGGCTCTTTCAGGAACAGCTGTGCCAGAGCTTGTGACTGACCCAAGGTCACATCAGCAGGTGCAAGTGGAGGAGTGGGGAATCGAACCCGGTTCTCCCAGATTAGAGTCCACACACTTAACCACTACACCAAACTGGAGTCTGTTTTGCAGAAGTCACCAAAGCCCTTACACTACAGTCAGCTCAACGAAGGTGGTAGGAAGAGAAAGGAGTAGCCAAGGCCATGAACTTTGCCCGAAGATCACACTGGAGGAATATTTCATCTTCTTAAAATTGCTATAAGCAACCGTTCGGGGAAAAGAAAAGAAAAACGGTTGCCATCTGGTTATCAAGGTGAGAAAGAACTCTCTCCGGAAGGATAAATGTTTAGAAGCATATCAGGATAGATGGGAGGAGTCTCTACAAGAATTGCCACAACGTATGAAGCAAGAGAATTGGATGATGCAAAACCAATTGCTCACTGGTTCCTGGGATTCCAGAGCACATGCTCAGTTTGAGAAAGGCCTTTGCTGCACATGTCTATGATTCACTGCTCTAGCTGGCCTGTTTACAGGCAATTCTGTTCATTAGGAGCTGTCAGTCACATCCCCACAGAAGTCAATATTAAAGCCTTGCCACCTTCCAGTTTGATTTTAAAAAACCTAGGCACACCTCAGCTATCAAACACCAAGAAACACTACTGCACTGAGGAAATACAGCCTGATCTTGTGTCAGGCCATGAGTCCCATTATTTGGAAGGAAAGTAGGATATAAATATTTTGAGGAAGTCCAAGAAACGAAGAAAAAACACTCCCAAAGGAAGATACATCAACAGTAAAAGGTAAAGGTAAAGGTTCCCTTGCTCGAAAGCCAGACGAATCCAACAGTAAAAGGTAAAGGTAAAGGTTCCCTTGCTCGAAAGCCAGACGAATCCGACTCTAGGGTTGCGGTGCTCATCTCCATTTCAAAGCCGAAGATCCAGCGCTGTCCGAAGACGTCTTCGTGGTCATGTGGCCGGCATGACTAAACACCAAGGCACACGGAACACTGTTACCTTCCCACCGAAGTGGTACCTATTTATCTACTTGCAACATCAAACATCAACAGGGGAGGCATCAAATGAGGGGAGGAAACAGGCCTAGAGTACTATGAGCTGAAATGCTTTGCTAATTTAGAGGAAACAGCTCTGATATAAATGGATGAATCAACAGAAAGGTCTGGAAAGAAGAAGCAGAAGATGTTATTGCAAGGGGAGGGCCGTTTGTACACTGCTTTGAAAACGTCTCAGGGCCACAACACAACACACCACTTGAAAGAAATAGTAAGACTCCCGGATGCAGCGGAACCAAAGTGCATTTACCCAGCAGCATCCTGTTTCCAAAAAGCCCTTAGGGACAGCGCGAAGCAAACCCAAACCTTTGCCCGGCAGACACAGCAAAACCAGATGCCTGCAGTGTTCCCTCTAAGCTGCGTTAGTGTGAGGTAGCTCAGTTTTTGAGCCTCTGGCTCACACATTTTTGTCTCCGCTCAGGAAGGATGGCTCCAGAGCAAACTAGTTTATCCAGCAGCCAGTGTTCCCTCTAAGCTGTGGAGTCTTGTGAGCAAAAATTCTATTTTGTGAGCTCCTGGCATTAAAGTGGTGAGCGAGCGATTTGGTTACTGCGTAAATTAGTTTGCTCTGGAGCCTTCCTTCCTGAGCAAAGACAGAAATGTGTGAGCCGGAGGCTAAAAAACTGTGAGCTAGCTCACACTCACTCAGCTTAGAGGGAACACTGCCAGCAGACAAATCGCCTGCTCACAACTTTAATGGCAGTAGCTCACAAAGTAGAATTTTTGCTCACAAGACCCCACGGCTTAGAGGGAACATTGGATGCCTGGCTAGCCATTGCTAACCCCTCTCACTGAGAAACAGGAGAAGCGGGAGACTGAAAGGGGGGGGGGGGACGCTTTAGCTTTCTGTGTTTCATCTCAACCCGAAGGGCCATGGCTCCTCCCTGACTTGCCTCCGAGCAGAGGCGCAAAGGGAGACAGACTGCCCTTGGCCATGGACGCCCCACTCAGCCTTAGCAAACGACCCCAGAGCCACGGCCCGGCCCCACCCCATCCCCGGCGCGGAAGGCCCACCGCCTCGCCCTCACTTTCAAATCTTCCACCGCCACCACTTCGCTCAGAACCGACTCCATCACGCCCAATCACGGAAGCGGACCGCTCTTAGGCGGAACCAGGATTTATCCCCTCTGGGATTAAAACCGGCCGCGCCTCTCTGCCTCCCCCGCCTCCCCCTAGTCTGTTCCTTCCGCCATTCCACCCCGCCCCCTCTGGCTACGTCACGCTTGCCACCCCGCCCCCTGCCGCTCCTCTACAATAAAGACAAGGCGGGAGGGGAGGGGGTTCTGTCGAGGCGGCCGCGGTGAATTGTAATCCAGCCGGAAAAGAAGCGCGTGGGCGAAGAAGCCGCCAATAAGAAAGCCTAGCTCCTGCTACCATGGCAGCGCATGGCCGGAAACGGCAAGCCGCTCCCGGAGGTGCTCTAGAGCACTACAGCTCTATGGTGACACAGTGTTCCCTCTAAGCTGAGTCAGTGCGAGCCAGCTCACAGTTTTTTAGCCCCTGGCTCACACATTTTTGTCTCCGCTCAGGAAGGAGGGCTCCAGAGCAAACTAATTGATGCAGTAGCCAAATGGCTCCCTCACAAGTTTAATGCCCGTAGCTCACAAAGTAGAATTTTTGCTCACAAAACTCCTGTCGCGTATCTCGGAAACCGGGGGAAACTGTTTCAGACCGGTAGTTTTCTATGTGCAGTGCTAGGGATGCCAGCCTCCAGGTGGGACCTGGGGATTCCCAGGAATGGCAGCTTCACTCCAATGTTCCCTCTGAGCTGTGGAGTCATGTGAGCAAAAATCCTACTTTGTGAGCTACTGGCATTAAAGTTGTGAGCGAGGGCTTGGGCTGCTGCATAGATTGGTTTGCTCTGGAGCCGTCCTTCCATCCTGAGCAAAGACAAAAATGTGTGAGCCGGAGGCTAAAAAACCGTGAGCTAGCTCACACTAACTCAGCTTAGAGGGAACACTGCTCTAGACTACAGACTTCAATTCCCCTGGAGAAGGTGGGTGCTTCGGAGGGTGGACTCTGCGGCATTGTTCCCCACTGAGTTCCCTGTCCTCCATCCCGAGGTCTCCAGGAGTTTCCCAACCTGGAGTTGGCAACCCTAGGTCCCCCATCCCCTGCTGGTGGTGGTGGTGGGGGAACTGACAACCCTACTGTAATTGCTTTTCTTCCGCTACAAAGGTGTTGCTCTATGCAAGTTAAAAGGGAAGGGAGAGAGAACTACGGGGGCTTAACTAGTTTTTTTTAAAAAAAACTTTATAGACTGGTGTAGGCAGTGCAGTGTAAGGGTTAGAGGAGGGTCCTCACTCTGTCCTAAAACTCACTGGGTAACCTTCGACCAGTCCTCTCAGCCGAACCTACCTCCCCTGGTTCAGAGAACCTCATAGGGTTTCCAGAATGAAATGTAGGAGAAACTTGGACCTTGCTCTGAGCATTGAGGAGGAATGGCGGGATTAAAATACAACAAAAATAGAAAAGGAGGTATTATGTCCCAAAGGAGAAGGGTGCAGCCTGGCTGAGAGAGACTTGCCTCTGACAAAACCAGTGGACTTTGAACCATGGGTTTCATAACCATTTATGTATAATTTTGCGCTTTCCTGCCAAAAATTGGTTCCCAAAAAATAACTGTGTAATCAAAATGTGTAATATTTGTGTTTTGTTTGGATTTTTGCAGTCTAAGTTCTATCGCATTGTTTGTTAAATGTCCCGTCCGGTTGATTGCATTAACTTATGTACCTTATTTATACCCTGCCTTTACCCCCAGTTGTTTTCCTTGTTGCCTTGGGTAGTTGTGTTTTTCCCTCCCTCCCAGTTCTTCTGTCTCAGCCCCACTGTATTATTTTGCTTTATCAAGAATATTTGATGTTAGATTCAGACATTCTGTTTTGTAATCGGCTTGCTGACTGGCTGAATAGTGGGTGTTTTTTTTGTTTTTTTGTCATACTTGTAATCTGCCTGGAACCCCAGTGGGAAAGGTGGACAATACATGTAAACAGGACTTTTTTGTAGAAAAAGCCCATCAGGAACTCATTAGCATAATAGGCCACACCCAACAGCAGAAACCCATTAACATATTAGGCCACATACCTGACAGCGCAGCTCATTGGCATATTAGGCCACACCCCCATGTTACCAGAAGTGTGCTCATCCAGCCACACCCACCTTTTGCTTCTTATTCTGTTTACCTTCTTTGTTGTCAAAACCCAGGGCTTTTTTGTAGCAGGAACTCCTTTGCATGTTAGGCCACACACCCCTAATGTAGCCAATCCTAATGAGTATGCTGTTGGGTGTGGCCTATTATGCTAATGAGTTCCTGCTGGGCGTGGCCAACTTGGAAGCCAGCCGGAACTCCAGTGCGTTCCTGCCCAAAAATAGCCCTGCATGTAAACAACAACAATGAATTTCAATGCATCCAGCTTTATTATTCTTTTTATGGTATGTAGTGCACTGTTTCACTGCATCGTTCTCCAGTCTTGTACCAGAATACCAGAATTTGTTTGTGTGTATAAGCCAAAGGCCGTCACAATACAGAATTAGGATAATGAAAATAAAATAATTCTAATCATACATAGGGAAAACAGTGATTCAAAAGAATTTTCTCACCAATAAATACGGACAAGTTATAAACAGTAAAATTGTAAAATAATAAATCCAGTTTGTTATAAACAGGTTAATTTTCTGAAGCTGCAGTCTTAGCCCTGATTTTTTTGGCAGCCAAGGCAAAAAGAGGCACTTTATAACGGACAGACCGATTAGTGTCAGATAACAGAAAGACCAGCTTGTCAGTGTCAGAGGAAAATTTTTATCCTGTTAGCAGATTATCAAGAAATTTAGATCTAACTGCTGTTTGCATAGGACAAAATAGTATATAGTGAAGAATGTCTTCTGGGACTGAGGTCCAGTCTTGTCATGCTGCTGTATTGTGTGAGTGCACTGTTTTCTAATTTTGTTGATTCTAGTTACAATACTGTTCTTACTGCATTGTTTTTAATTCGGATCCACCTTGAGTCTCAACAAGAGAGGTGGACTATAGATAAAGTAAATACATAACAATAAACTGCCTCAGGGCACAAAGAACCAGGTCGCTTCTTGCCACAGATCTAACAATTCCATACACAGCTTTTTCTGATGCAAAGGAGAATGTAGAGAACAGGTTTCTTTCCTGCCTGTCTGGCAGGTCTCCCTCCATCCTGAAAAATAAAAATCTTAAACTCCTTTAGGATTTCCGGATCAGTACACGAGGGGTGGGATTGCCAGTTTAGGATTGGAAAATTCCTGGAGATTCTGGAGGCGGAGTCGGGGGAGGGTGGGGTTTGGAGAACAGAGGGAGCTCTGGAGGGTAGAACGCCATAGCGTCCACCCTCCAAAACAGCCATTTCCTTTTTTTTAACGATTTATTTTGAATTTTCAAAGTAAACAACCATATATTTATCATAAACAATATAGATATCTGAGTCTATAAGTCGCCATCTAAAGCAGCCATTTCCTCAAGGGCCTGGAGATCAATTGAAATACCAGGAGATCTTCAGGCTCCACCTGGAGGTTGGCAACTCTAAAACCGAGTGGTTATCTGCAAACCAAATACAAATCTCCTGGGCTGCACCTCCTCCTCTCCAGGGGCAATTTTCTGAGGCAAGCAAACAGCCCTCTAATTGGTAGCAGAAAGGGCAAGCGTTTCACTTCATGTTGGAACCTGTCCTCAATTTCAGGTAGTTATCTGCAATTTCCTCAACAATAATTGGAGTAAAAATAATCTAAGGAGTCCCCTGTCACACGCATTTACCAGTGCACGGTGATGTGGGCATGCAAATGCTAGTGGTGTGTTGCTTCTTTGGTTAATGAGGCAAAATGAGCATTGGGACTCCCAGCTGAGTATGCAGCTGGGAGGACAGCTATGTTAGCAGTGTCCGTGGGGGCTCAGTCTTGCAGAGTTTAGTGACCCAAAGTTGGTTCACAAGTCTTCAAAAAGTATCTTTATTTTTTAAAGTGCCCTCAAGTTACGGCCAAAATGACAACCCCCCTGGGGGCTTTCAAGGCAAAAGACAAGCAGAGGTGGTTTGCCACTGCCTGCCTCTGCCTAGAGACCCTGGATTCTCTTGGTGGTCTCCCATCTAAATACTAACCAGGGCCGACCATGATTAGTTTCCAAGATCTGATGTGATCAGGCTAGCCTGGGCTATCTAGGTTCCCCCCCCCCCCAACAGTTAAACAAGAGACTGAAGTCCAACCGTTGAAGGTTTCTCCACTATCGTTATTTTGGGGGAGGAACTGCACGTCTCTAATTTCTCTCCTGCAGCTGTTAAAAGCACAAGAGTCTCTTCCCATAAAAATATGGCTCTCCCGTGAGAATACAAGTCCACATAGATTTTATAAACATCCGGTGACACAGCTGGATCTCAGCCCTTTCTTGCTTATGGATCCGACAGAATCTATATTACATTATCACTTTTCACGTGGAATTCTTCCCAGTTGTTCTGTAAGGAGAAAACGTATTGTTTCTGAAGCGGCCCCGGTATTTTGTGATATGTTGATGACGCATTTTTAAGCTTTCCTGCTCAAACCATCCTGAACTCTAGAACCTACACACACACACACACACACACACACACACACACAAGGAAGACACTGAATCCCAGACACCCACATTAATGGTCGAGACAGTGTGTGACTGCAATAAAGAAGACGAATGCTATGCTGGGGATTATTAGGAAGGGTATTGAAAACAGATCAGCCAATATCATAATGCCCCTGTATAAATCAATGGTGAGACGTCATTTGGAATACTGTGTGCAGTTCTGGTCACCACACCTTAAAAAGGATATTATAGCTTTGGAAAAAGGGCAGAAAAGGGCAACTCGAATGATAAAGGGGTTGGAACACTTTCCCTATGAGGAAACGTTAAAGCGCTTAGGGCTCTTTAGCTTGGAGAAACGGCGACTGAGGGGTGACATGATCGAGGTTTATAAGATTATGCATGGGAAAGAGCAGGTAGAGAAAGAGGTACTTTTCTCCCTTTCTCACAATACAAGAACTCGTGGGCACTCCATGAAACTGCAGAGCGGTCGGGTTAGAACGGATAAAAGGAAGTACTTCTTCAC